CGGGCAGGTGAGGTGAGGCGCGCCGTCTTGCCCAGCGGGGGTCAGTGTCCGCTGGCGGCCAGCTGCTTCCCTGTGACCCACCTAGGGGCCGGTGACTCCATCGAGCCCTTTTGAGCCCTGTTTACCTCCTGGGGGCTACTGTCGGTACAGTTGTGGGAGTGTGGGAGCCCGTCCCCTGCTAGGCTGCAGAGCTCTGGGTGGCTGTACCGACCCTATAGCAATCTTCGAGCTTGGGGTTGGTGCTTGCGATGCTGCTCCCCAAACTGCAGCGAGTAATGGGCCCTAATTTTCCCCAAACCTCCCCAGTCATATTCTGCTCCAACCCACTGAAAGACATCACGGGGGGGGGGGGTTCCTGGGAAGGAGGACACATGCCTTGGATGTGAGTGGAGGGCAGAGGACCTCTGGGCACAGGGCCGGTCCCTTACTCGTTACAGTGTGCTGTGGTGTGCGGGCCAGTCACTGTTGGCTTGTGGGCCCTGGGAAGTGCATCTCGAAAGAGATTTTGGGTTTTGGGGTCTGTGGAGATCCTGTCCTCTCACACTGGAGACCTTGAGGCCCGGAGTTTTGCACTTTCCTCCCCTGTTGGGCATCATGTTCCTAGACGTAATAAAGACACACCCCACTTTGAAATCTTCCCGGAGGCTACAGCAGCAGTTAGGCTGGGGCGGGAAGGGGCAGAGGGTGGAGCCTGCAGGGGCAGTGGGGAAGCAGCCCCAGGTCGGGAGGCTCAGGAGTATCTGGGGTGAGGATGATAGCTAAAAGAAGACCCCTGTTCGAGCCCCCCGAGACTCAGGGGTTCTGGCCTCACTGAACTATTTGGGCCAAAGTGAGGATTGAGGTACAAGGCCCTGCTGATCTCCGGATGGGGCTGAGGAGCAGGGTCCTATCTGCTCCTGGCAAGAAGGGGGCTGGGAACCCCATGCAGCCTCCTGGGAGCCAGGCATCCCTTTCCCAGGGACTCAGCAGGCCAGCAGGAGAGGGTGGTGGGGAGGGGGTATGCGTTTTGTTTGGTGACCGGGGCCGTTAGGATTCCCAGCGCTGGGCGGCTCTCACGCCGGCCCCATGGGCAAGGTAACAAAGCCCCTTTCTCCAGCGAGAAAGGCGTCAGCCTCTTGTGTGCAGTTCTGTGCTCCATGGGAACCGCCGCTGCCGTGCAGGCCACTCAGGTTGCCTGGTGATGCGGGGGCCTGGGTCCCCCACCACACACCCCTGACTGACAACTCTTGTGGGGCACCATCCCTGAGCCAGGGACACCCCCTCTCCCAGCATTTGTCCTTCCTGCTGTGTGACCTAGGGCAGGGTTCAGGCCCCTCTGAGCTGCCACCAACCAGCCCTGCACACCTCTTGTCAAAGAGTTCGGGGCTTTCTCCATTGGACGTGGTCAGAGGACCTTAGCTGTGAGTCTCAGCTGGACTGGGTGGGTAACCCTGAGCAAACCTAGGGCCTCTGTGACAGTCTTTTACTCCCTATAGTGGGGTAAACATTGCTGCCCAAAAGAGTGTTGTAAGAGGGGGCTGGCAAAACCTGGAGGCCTCAGGCACACTCAGTGGGCAGAGTCAAGGCCATCACTGTCCTGGTCCCTAACAACCCTGTCGAAGGATTTCCCCATCAGAAGGGGTTGAATCTGCTCCTGACATCAGCTCAGGTGCACACAGCAAGCACAGACCCTCTTGTATGTTGTGGCCAGGAGCCTTTGGAACTTGTGGCACAGGGTACTTGCCAAGCCTGTGCAGTAACAACTCAGACCTGGTCTCTGAGGGGGACACTGGAGACGCTGTGAGAGCCAATGGGCATCTGCCTGAAGGAGCAGGTTGGAAGGCTTCCTGGAGGAGGTGCCCTCTGTGCCGGACTGAGTAAGAGTGCCATGGAAGGGCAACCTGGGCATCTAGGGCGTGAGCAGTGGCTGTGCAGGAAGCTTCCAACCACTGGAGAGGTGGGGGTGGGGGCTGGTCCACAGGGCCTTGAGGTCAGTGTGAAGGCCTGGCTCCAGGCCTGCTGCTCCTCCCCCACCTCCTAGGAGCACGCCAGGCAGCAGCGGCTGCCACCACAGCAGCCACAATGGTCAGGGGAGAACTTGGCATCCTGTGTTTCTTTGAATCGAGGCTCCAGGAACAATGCCGCTTCCTGTGGGTGTCCCCCCGCCAGGCCTCGGCCAGCCCTGCTGCCCTCACTACCCTGGTCCTTCTCTTTTGGGAAGTTGGGGGTTGTGGGTCCCTGGAAGGGATCACTTCTGCCCCAAGTGTCACCATGGCCTCAGATTCCTCACTTGTACGCTTGGGGTGGTGATGGTGATGGTTAGGGAAAGGGCAGTCTGTCCCCAGCACTCTGTCCACGTAAGTGAGCACTACTGAGCCCATTTTACAGAGGAAGGAACTGAGTGTGAGTGAAGGAGGAGGAGGGTGGCTTGTAGCTGCAGCGCCTGCTCTTCATCTCCTGGTAGCTCTGTGTTGGGGAGATGGAGGTTAGGCACCCCTGCGCCCCACAGCCCTGCCCCTCCAAGCTGAACAAAGGTGACTTTAATCTCCCGTAGCCCTGGGCTGGGTTTTTAGGATACCACCAAAGCGCGGGGGAACAGGCCTCTCTTGATCTCATTAAGAAAGCATTTTTCTTTTAATCCAGCGGCACAGTGGAGCGTCTGCACAGGCTGGCCCTCTCCGCCTCCCACGGCATTCCTGGGCTGGGGTGCTGGGGCGCGGGTTAGGGGCTGAGTGCGAGTCTGTGCCCGCCTGCGGTGTCTGCTGGGCCCTGGAACAGGGGGAAGGGTGGGTTTGTGGAGAAAGTATGGACAGCACCAGCACATCCTCAAGCTTGGGGCCTGTGACTTGTAGCCTGAGGAGCTTCACCTGAGGATATGTCCAGGCCTGGGGTCCATCTGGGTGAGGGGCTGGGACTGTCTTGTTGTAGGGATGCTGCTTTCTGGCCTGCAGGGGTCCCTGACAGCTGGGATGTGATGCTCCCCAGGTTAGAAGGCACTGGAGCCTCCTTTGGATCTGTGTGTACACAAAAGGAAACTAAGGCCTGGTGGGTGTGGGGGCCCCCACTGCCTGCTCAGCACCCCCCCACCTGCCCTAGGCTTGCGCTCAGTCCTGCGGGGGCGCAGCGGGTGGCACGCGCTGGGCGGGCCGGCAGAGGAAGGCACATTCCTACCCGTGTGCTGACGGGCCCAGGCGGGCACCAGCAGCTCCTTACCCCACCCAGATGGCTCCCTCCTCTTCCGCCGAAGGATCCTGGCGGGGTGGCAGGATGGCTGGGTGCCGGCGCAGGTGGAGCTTTACTGTGGCCTTGGGCAGGGCGTGGTACTCTGCCAATGAGCGGTTCCCTTGCATGAACAGCAAGAGAGGTCTGGGGCCCCTCATCGGAACTGGGGACCTGAGCCCTTTTCCGACACCACCACACTGACCAACACTGCCTCACAGAACTTTGGGGACAGCTTTGGCCAAGGGTAACCAGCCATGCTGGTCACACCCTGAGGGACCAGCCTAACAGTCAAAGGGCCACAGTACTGGTGGCCACACCCCTGCCTGAGGACCTCTTGCCCAGCCCGGCCCAGTTAACCAGGCCAGCTGTATGGTAATGACAGCATGGCCACTCCTGCTTAACTCCTCGGAGTTAAGGCAGCCGGCGCCCCTAGTCACTCGTCACTCGGCCCAGGACAAAGCCAACGGACAATGCCTGGTGATTCATCCTCCCTCCGGCCCTTTGTCTGCTGGGGCTTGGCAGCCACCCAGCAGAGCCCTTTGTCCCCAACCCAAGTGACTGAGACTTGGCTTCCCCAAGCTCTTCTTGCCTGTTCCCCCTGCCTTTCCTCCTAAGGCCCTGAAGCCCACAGGGGGGCACCGTCAATAAGGGTGTGTGCCACCAGGTGCGAGGGCGGGCTGGCCAAGAGCCGTTTACCTGGTGAGTGGGTGGGGCGCCCCACCTGGCTCGTGCCTCCCAGCTGCCTAGGTGACCTTGGGCCCAGCTGTCGAGGTTGGTGAGTGAGGCCCCCCAGCCAGCCGAGACGCCCTGGACGTCTGAGCCCTGCTTCTTGCAGGTGGGGGAAGGAGTGGGGGTGTGGGTGGGGTAAACGCTAGTGGGGAGAAGATGTCCAGAGCTGCAGCTGCCAGACTCCAGCAGACCCAGCCCCACCCACCACCCCACCATGGCCCAGGGTCTGAGATGCCGTGCTGCAGCTCAGGGTTATATCTCTCCTTCCAGACATTCATCTTCACCGACGGGGAGGACGAAGTGCTGGCCAGGCACACGGGTGAGCCCTGAGCTTGGGGGGCTTGGGGCAGAGGGCCGCCCTCCTTCAGAGCAAACGTCCCTCCTTCCTCTCCTACAGGGGCCGAGAGGTCAGGGGCCGAGGGACTAGGAGGGCAGTTTACTCAAGGGTTTGCTCAACGCTCCGCCCCACCACTCGGGCCCCCAATTCTCATGCAAATGAGGCCCTTTCAGCCCCGAAGTCCCTTTGAGCCTGGCCAGCAGCAACAGGTGGCGGGTGCTGGGAAAAAGCTGGCTGAATGGGCAGGGGCGGGGCACCCTGGGGAGGGGGCAGGCTGGGGGAGGGCCCATGGGCCTCAGCCCCGCTAGGGTGGGAGGGTGGCTGGGGGGGGCCTTGCTGGTGCCCAGGTTCTCACAGGCCCCACCTCACCCACAGGCAACGTGGTCAACACCAACTGCTCAGCTGCCCACAGCCGCCAGGCGCTGTCCTGCAAGATGGCTGTGGAGTATGACCATTTCATTGAGTCCGGGAGGAAGTGAGTTGGCCCCTAGCTGTTGCCCTCCGAATCCCCTGCCGGGCCTTCCCCTGCTGTGTCCTCCTCACGGCCCTGCCTTGTCCTCAGATGGTTCTGCCATGTGGATGATGACAACTACGTCAACCTGCGGGCCCTGCTGCGGCTGCTGGCCAGCTACCCACACACCCAGGACATCTACATCGGCAAGCCCAGCCTGGACCGACCCATCCAGGCCACTGAGCGTGTCAGTGAGAACAGGGTGGTGAGTTCCATGAGCCCCGCTGGAGCAGGTGTTGGGATGGAGGCTCTCATGCCTTGCGGCCTCATGATGTCTCCCTGTCCCCAGCGTCCTGTCCACTTCTGGTTTGCCACTGGTGGGGCTGGCTTCTGCATCAGCCGAGGGCTGGCGCTAAAGATGAGTCCATGGGCCAGGTGAGTGCATGGGTCTCAGGGTCCTGGGACCTGGGACTTTGGGCCTGGCTGGCTTAGTCCTCCCTGCAGTGGGGTCCCCGCCTGTGTCCCCTTCCTCCTCAGGCTTACAGAGGCAGCTGTACTCACAGCCACTTCCTTCACAGCTGTCCTGCTCAGAGCAGACACCAGTGGCAGTAGCACCCCACGTACCTTTGGCCAGGCCCCCTTCCTGTATTAGAAATGCGCGTGCGCACACACACACACACACACACACACACACACACACACACACAGAGCAGCAGGACTAGTGTGGAGGAGGAAGTAGCGCTGGGGAAAGGGACACAGGGTGTTCTTCACCGGCACCTGCCTCTCAGCCCAGTGTGAAGTGTCCTGCCCAGCTCCCTGTGCTGCCCCTGCTCACTACCCCTGCCCTTCCCTCCTGCAGTGGTGGCCACTTCATGAGCACTGCGGAGCGCATCCGACTGCCAGATGACTGCACCGTAGGCTACATTGTGGAAGCTCTGCTGGGCGTACCCCTCATCCGCAGTGGCCTCTTCCACTCACACCTGGAGAACCTGCAGCAGGTGCCTGCCTCCAAGCTCCACGAGCAGGTACGCCATCCCTGGGCCCAGCCAGGACTGAATGAGTGCAGGAAGGGCTGAGGAGTGAGGGGGCACACTCAAGAGAAGAGGCGGGTAGATCATTGTCTTACTGAGCAGGTCAAGCTGGGTGGGGCAGTGTGTGACTATAATTCCAGCAGTCTGGGAGGCTGAAGCAGGAGTGTGTGGGTCACAAATTTGAGCCTAGCCTGGGCAAATTAGTGAATTAGGAAGACCCTGTCAAAATAAAAATTAAAAAGGGCTGAGGATGTAGCTCAGTGCTAAGGTCCTGAGTTCAGTCCCCAGTTCCACAAAAATAAGAGGTGAGGAAGAGTCCCACTGTCAGCTGCTACTGGGCACCAGAGTCTCCCACCAGTGCAGACTCAGTTCCCACCAAGTTGCCATCCTTCCGTCCTTCCACCTTCCAGGGAACAAACCCACCTGCACTGTGCTTCCATTCCAAATCATTGGATACTCTCCTGTTCACAGCTGCAGCCCCCACTCAGGACTTCATCCTGGGCTGTTAGGGTAGGCATCCTCAGTCGGAGGGGACGGCCGGACCCCTCCAGCATCATGTGGCCCCTGTCCCCACAGGTGACCCTGAGCTATGGTATGTTTGAGAACAAGCGGAACGTGGTCCATGTGAAGAGCCCCTTCTCAGTGGAGGCTGACCCGTCCAGGTGAGGACTGCAGCTGGTGTCTTTACAACATGACTGTATAGAGGAGCCCCAAAAGGCTCCTTTGCTGGGGGGGTGAGCTGGGGTCTCCTTGGGTGCTGTAGGCCAGCAAGTGGCGCTTGGCACCCTGCCCTGCATGGACCAGCCCTCCGCTCTGTCCCTGCAGGTTCCGCTCCATCCACTGCCACCTGTACCCGGACACACCCTGGTGTCCTCGCACCGCCATCTTCTAGCACCATGGCTGAGACCCTGTCCCTGGGTGCCCCTGGTATCCAAAGGGCCTAGGGACCTCTGTTGTGCCACCCTGGCCTTGGCCCTCAAGGCATCCCTGTGAGTGTATGTCACATGCCCACAGGGCAGCGGGCTGCTGGGCAGTTCTGCTTCTTGAGGAGCTGGGAAGAGACCCCACACCCTGTGGTCCCTCTATGGGCAGCTCTGTGTTATGATTTTGGATCTCTTGCTCAGAGCTTCTCTGCAGGGATGTGGGTGCCCCTACCTGCTGAGCACAGGCCTTGATCCTGAGCCATCCTTGGGGCAGGGGACGCTGGTTTGGAGGGGAGAGGCCTGTGCCCCTCCTGGGAGCTCTGGCACTGTGTGTGACTTTGAGTAACAGCAGCCGCTGGTCTATCCCAGTGACCCCAAGACTCCCCCAGTGACTGTGCAACTAGTGAACAGCCCTCCCAGGTGTGTGTGGGGGTATCTTCCAGCCCCCTGAGATCCTGCCTTTGTCTCCCCCATTGGGGGAGACAGAGCTGAACATTTTATCTCCTCTCCAAAGTAGAGAGAATGTCGCCCACAGTGGGCGTGTCTGTAAATATTGTGACAGTATTTTTTTACTGTACTGTTTGGAAAGGGGTGGGTAAAAAGGGGGGGGTTGTGTGCTGTTTTCAGGGGTGGGTGAGGAGGGTCGTATTTTATCTTTTCTGTGGATCAGAAAAAGCAGACACCAAACTTGGGGTCCCCTTTGTAAAGCAGACTGCGAACGTCTAACTCGCTCTGTATTTATGTGTTCCAGTATCTGGAATCCCCTCCCTCATCCTCCCTAGGCCCCTGGGCTTATGTAGCTCCCGGCCTTTGGGGTATGTCCTGCGTTCTGTGTTCTCTTTGCAAAGACATAGCTAGGAAAGCAGATGATAAGGGAGAAGCTCTCAGGGAATTGGAGTGTTGTTGCTATGGTGACATCCTTTTGCTGTGAATAAAGGTGCTCTTTGCAGCAACCAGAGGTCCTGGTCCTGGTCCTGGCTGGAAGTTGGGCCCAAGTCCAGGTCCATCCTGTTGGTTCCAGGGGGCCAAGGGGTGAGATGGGGGGAGACCTGGTTTGCGCTACAGAAAGTAGGTAAGAAGAAAACCCTACAAGCCAGCCAGACATGGTTGTGTATCCCTGTAATCCCAGCACTTTGAGAGGATGAGGTGAGGTGATGGTGCTGCTGGTGGTGGTGGTCGTGTGATTTCAAGCCCAGTCTGGACAATTTATCGAGATTCTGTCTCAAAAAATAAAAAGGTCTGAGGGTATAGTTCAGTGCAAAGTTCCTGGGTTCAATCCCCAGTACCCAAAACAAAACAAAAAGACTGTACAAGCAGCTATTGTGGAAGGACATTTCAGATCAAAACATCTGCTGGTCAGGGCCTGAAAGGAGTGGTCAGCCCAGTGCAGGGGGTCGCTGGTGGGCCAGCAGCAGGAGACTACAGATGTAGCCAAGGAAGCAGCCTTAGTTCATTCCTTCCTGCAAGAGGAGTAGTGCTGTGGCTGGACCTGGTGCCTCCCTACCTAGTTTCATCCCCATCACAAGTCGAGAGTCCAATCTGCACACAGGGAAACTGAGGCCCAGAGCAAATAGTATCCAGGGTCAGGCACTGGGGCTGCTGACATTTGGACCCAGCCTCTCCTCTTGTCATGGGAGCTTGGAGGGCCCTCCCAGGATGGCAGTGCCCAAATGGCCACTGCCCAGCTGGACCTGCCCCCACCTTAGCAGGTCCCAGGAAGTGGGCAGGGATCTGACTGCCCTCCTGTAAGGACAGCAGCTGTGCAGGGGCCTTTCTTCCTCAAATCCAGCGTGAGGGCCACCTAGCCTCCTACTGGGGAGTTCCCCTCCCCTCCCCCTTCCTGCTACCTCATTTCCTCCTCTTTAGACTGAGCTGCTCCTCCCCCAGGCGCCTGTTCTGGCCTGGCTGCTCCCAGCTGGGGGGCTCAGGCCCCCCTTTTTACTGAGCTTATGTGACTCACTGTTTCAGGCAGAGCTCTTTGAAAGGTACCTCCCCCACCCTCACACACAAAGACCTTCTCTAGCCCCTTCCCCTGCCCCACGAGACAGGTGCCCATTGGCACAGCACCCCAAAATGGGCTCCCTTCCTCTCAGCCACTGCTGGTGGCTGACCTGGGCGGCGTCCTGATCATGGAGAGGCCTGAGTCAGCAGCAGGGTGTGGTTTCCAAAGGCCATGGCACTGGGCACCGGGGTATGGCCAGTGGTCATGTTAAAGTAGAGGAAGCCTATGTGTCCTAGCCCACTGGGGGAGTGCCCCCAGACTTTGCTGCTGTTGTCCCTGGTACTGGCAGTGTGCAGGGCCTGGTGAGATGATGGCCATGTACTTTTGGATGGTACTGGACTGTCTTCTGGACCAGGAAGTTGACACTTGCAGGGGGAGTGCCACAGCGGAACAGGCTGTGAGCACAGCCCGGGGGCCTCCTTCCTGCCTGGGTGAGTCAGAGGCAGGGTGCTCTCTGCCTGGTCCCCCACACTGCCTCAGCAGCTGCCATCAGCCTCCCTGACAGCCCCAAACAGGAAGGGGGAGGGGGGTGAGGCAGGGCATCGTGGCCTGGACAGGTGGGACAAGTGGGCTGTCAGCATTGCTGGCCAGATGTTTCCAAATGGGGAGGACAGTGGTGCAGAGGGTGGGGGATTGCCCCGCCCTCCCCAGCCTGGTTGCCTTTATCAGAAATGGGTAGCTGATGGGGAGGGGTCCTGGGAGGGACACAGGCCAGCAGCCTTGGGCCTTTCCTGACCCAAAGAGAAGCTGAGCAGTGAAGTTGCTCTGGTCAGAAGGGGAAGCAGGTTAGGAGAGGCTCCAGGGCAGCGAGTGCCTGGTTCCTCCTAACCCTTCAGGGTGTGAGGGGATGCTCACCCAGGCCTGAGGGAGCTCCTCTCCCCACAGGATGGTTCTGAGGATGCCCCCCACATACACTGAAATTCTGCCAGCTCACACCCAGGCTGGGGCCAATTGGAGTCCTGGAAGGCCCCTTCCAAAACTGCCCATCATTTATGAAACTTTCAAAAATAAAGACGCTCAGGCTGCTGGGTGCTGAGGGAGGGGATGAGACTCAGCCCCCAACCCCAGCTTCTGCTTTCCAGGTGGGTTGGGGGAGAGGGAGGAGTGCAGTGGCTGGACAGAGCTGAGCCCAGTTGAGAGAGGTTGCTGGGGTGGGCCTTCCCTGCTCGCTTTAAACTGCCTCCCCCTGAGGTCCCCAAAGCTGACATCCTGGATGAGGCTTCTCTTGGCTGCAGTGGGAAGACTGTAAAATGGGGAGAGCTGGGCATTCCAGCTTGGCATAGACCAGGGAAGGAGTAGAGGGGGACTGGGTAGAGGGCTGGGAGGCAGGATGTGCAATGGGATCAGCGTCCCAGACCCTCTCCCCCACACCTGGTCCTCCCCCAATAGCAATCAGGCGGCAGGTTAGACCTGCTGGGTGGCTTCTCCAGGCCCCTTCTCTGGAACTGTCAGAGGGAAGTAGGGGCCAGGTCCAGACCCCTCCTGTGTTGGTGAGAAACTGGCCAGACCTTCTTCCTTATGCCCATATGCCACCCCAGCCCCAGCCTTACTGGATCTTCTTGGAGGTGACTCCTCCCAACTCTACTTTCTGAGCCCAGAGCCAGGCACCCCAGAAGCCACTTGGGGCATCCTTAGGAGGGACCCAGAGATGAGGAGGCCCCTCATCTTGACCCCTAGAGGTTGCCCAGATGTTGCCACGAAGAGTGGGGGCCCACAGTTCTGGCTGTTTCTCCGTGTATCCTAAGTACCCAGTTCTCAGCCTCTATCCCCAATACAACCAGCCGCAGTCCTTGGGCGCCATCTGGTGGCAACAGCTGCTGGCGCTTGGGCTGAATCCTGCTATCCTGAGACCCATGCCTGGACAGAGGTGTGCAAGCCCAATGGAAGGAGGAGGTGACCACTGCAGCTTGAGCTTGCCCCTCACATCTCACTGTACACCCTTACTAATGACACGGGGCATAATTACCAGCATCTAACTCATGTAAAATGGGGAACGTCAAGCATCAGGGCAGAACCGGGGCCTCAGGAAGCCTCAGGGTTCCTCTGGCAGTCTTAAACCAGAGGTGTCTGGTAACACGTCCTCACAAGGGATAGCACCACTCCTCTCCAGCAGGCTCTTGCCTGCCAGCTGAGCCGCACAGCACCTCTGGTACCTGTGGGGTGGGGAGTTGCTCTTCTGGAGCCCCAGTGGAGTCGCCCGCTACCACCACCGCCACCGCCATTGCCACCGAGGATTCAGCGCCCCCTGCTGGCAGATTCCAGTCCTGCACCTAATTTTGGGAGCACCTCTACTCAATTTCCAGACACTCCTGTGGAGCCTCTCCAAAGCACTACATCTCCGTTCCCAGAGTGCATCACCTGCTTCCCTCATAGGTATTCACAGGCCCCTCGCTCTGGAGTTTCAAGTCCGAGTTCCTGGCTCCTGCAGTTCTTGTCACATCCATCCTTGGAGACGTTGGTGTAGCTGCTCTCCTGTCCTTGCCCACGCCGCCCACCACAGCCTCCACTGTCCAGCCTTCCCACATGTATCCTGACCTTATGATTCTTCCATTCCCATGGGCCCCTCCAGGGTTTGTTCTCAGCTGGCTGTACTCTCACCATCAGGCATTGCAGACTTGATCTCATCTGCATCTTCCGTGGCTGCTTGTCTCCTGTGGGCCAGGCCTGCACTTGGGACTTGGCCATGTGAGGCTGGCCACCTGCTCTAGGGGCTGCATGTGGCTGAAGAAAAGTGGCCTCCACCCCAGGCTAGTCTCACTTTGCTCCAGACTCGGACCTCAGGAAGCCCTCAACCTCAGTGCCCCCCAACCCCTCTCCTGCAAGCCCACCCTTCCCCAGCCTGTCTCTAACCACCTTGCTTCCTATTTCACTGGAGCCTGCTAACTCACCCCAGGGTTGGCCCCATGTGTCTGCAGCCAGTCCTTCCTGGACCGCAGCTCCCAGTCCTCCTTGGCTGCTTAGGAAGTCCAAGTCAAGCTTAGTGGCAGACAACTGTAATCTCAGTAGATGAGGTAGAAGGATTGAAAGTTTTTAGCCCAGCCTGGGCAATTTAGCAAGACCTTGAGTCAAAAGTTGAAGGTGGGGAAAAAGTTGGGGATGGGTTGGGGATGTAGCTTAGTGTAAAGGCCCCAAGTTCAAACCCCAGTGCTGGAAAGAAAAACCATCTACCCAAATACGTTTCCCCTGTTTCCCACAGTCACTTTCTTTTCTGTGCTGGGGGCCCCATTAGCCCTACCACTGTGCTGTCATTTCCCACTTAATACACACACACCAAGCACCGCTCTGTCCGCGCTTTGCGAACAGCTTCACACTTTTTTCCTTTTAGCTCACCTCCTCAAATGGCTGGTTGGTTCTGTCCTCCAGCTGCTCCTCTCCTGAACTGCTGCTACCCAGCACCCTCTGGCTTCATCCGCTGGGTCTGGTTGGATGGCTCGACATCCGGGTCACTGAACCTGCCATCTCTGACCATCAGTCCATCACTGATCATCGGTCCCATGTGATGTGCTGCTTTATCGCCCTTGATGGACTGTCATCATGTGGTGTCCATGACACCTGCACCCCTGCGCTTCCTCCAGATTCCATGGGCGCTCTTCCCTGAGCCCCCACCTCTGCACTGTCCATGTCAAAAAGACAGGCTCAATGTGTGCATAGCTGGACCTCTGACCTCCCTCGCTCCCAAACACATGCCAACTGCTCAACCCAAACCCACACCCATAGCTGGCCTGCCAGGAAGTGCAGTGAGCAGTACCTTTCTCCCAACTCTGCCCCAGCCCTGCTGCCATCAGGTCTCACCTGCACTATGGCATGAGCTTCCTAACTGGTCTGTGGCTTCTGCATCATTACAATCCTCCTGCCTCAGCCTCCCAGAGTGCTGGGATTACAGGCATGCACCACCACACCCAGCTAGGATGTTGGCTTTTACCCTCAATACACATGGGGGCGCTGAGGTCCCAGTGTGTGGGGTGTATTTGAGGTCATTCTTCATGACCCCTGGCTATCGCTCCAAGACTAGGGCTCCTGTCTTTCAGGCTCCTAGATGCCAGGTGCCCAGAGTCCACAGGTCACTGTCAAAGACACCCTGGAGCTGCCAATATCTATGCTGTGAAAGTTCAACATGCCCTTCTCCACAGCACACCCACCCTATGCCCCTCTTGAGTGTTCCCAATGTTTCATTTATGTTATTGTTTTTTGGGGCAAGGTCTCACCATGTAGTTCAGGCTGGCCCAGAACTCCAAGGGCTGGGATTATAGGCATGTGCAGTCAATCTTGAAAGCTCTGGTTGAGGCTGCTGGTTTCCTTGGCCTGGTGTCCATGTGAGCCCAAGCTAGGAGCCAGGGCCCCCAGTATCTTGCACAGCCCCAGATATCCCAAAGGCCCTGCCAACTTCACAGGCCTGATGTCTCCCTGTGATGTGGGTGCTGCCACCTGCAGGGCTGTGCTGAGGCCTCAAGGAGCCGCCTCACTGGAACCCACTCCTCTTAGCAAACCAGAAGGCCATTCCCACTGCAGGGGTGGAGGATTCACTGAGGCACTGTGCTGCTTCTGGAAAGATGGAGGACTAGTGGGAACCCCCTATGGCTCCATTCTGGCACTCGGCCCCTCCACTGCACCCTCACCAGGCAAGGGCAGGCACCTCACAGCCTCCTGGCCCTCCCCTCCCTGGGCAGCAGGACTGCAGAGTCAGGCTGTCTCCCTATCTATGATCACACTGCCACACCATCTGCAGCCAGCTGTAGGCCTGCAAGGCCCCACCTGCCCAGGGAGCCCAACATTCACGGAGGTCCTGCCCTTGCCTAGTCCTGATGTCTTCCAGAGCTCATCAGGTCCCCACCCATCAGAGTCCCCTGCCTCAACCTACAAGCAACATAGAGCTGGGGACCTTCCCAATTAATTTAGGAAAAGTCACCTGTTCTTTAAAATGTATTTATTTTAAAACATGAAACCCAAGCTGAATAGAAACCACAGAAATTACATCGACAAGATTTTTAGTTTTTGCCAAGAAAAAGTCCCCAAAGAAATAAAAATCAAACGCAAAACCCAGTTTTAGAAAACAAAAACAGCAACAGGACACACAGCCACAGGCTTACGGAGGCTGAGGGGTGCAGCCCGGTGCAGCTCTGGTGTTAAGGTACACGGGGCAAGATTCGGGGGGAGGGTTTAACAAAATCATACATAAAACAAATAGGGGCAATCACAAGCATCGTGGCTAAACACAAAGAAGCCCACACAAACTGCCCTGATCCCTGGGCCCCAGGGGCTGCCAACTGATCCCTCTGGGCTGGGCAGAGCTAGGACCTGGGTAGGGAGGGCAATGGTAGGGACCTGGAATTGCATAGTGAAATGGGGTGGGTGTCAGGAGGGTCAGGGTGCTCCCAGTCAGGCCCTCCCACTACCCAACCTCACCTTGTTTGGGAGACTGGGGCTGGACACCAGAGGAACCCCATGGACCCTCCCGAAAGCCTGGAAGAGCCCTGGGGTCAGACATGGCCAACACCCCACAGCCTCCTACTCTCCATGTGGTCAAGTCCTCACCCATGCTCCAGAGTCCAGGAGGGCAGAGTGGGAGTGGCAGGTGTCCCTGGCCTGGCACCCTAAGAAATGTGGTGATGTGGCTGGGCAGGGTGGTCAGGAAAGGGGCACCAAAAACTCAGAACAGAAAGAAACCAAGGGCAGGAGCCACTGAAGTCTGGGAGTGAACCCCTCTTGACTTCCCCCTTTCCTTTCTTCAGCCTCGGGTGAAGTCACAGGGCACACATGCGCACATGCACGCACACACACACACACTCACACACACTCACATACACACGACGGCAGGACTTCCACAGCACAGGTTCACGGCCACATCCGGGCAGTGCCTGCCTCTCATGCTATGTACATTCACCTTGTGGGTGGCTCTTGGCCGCTGGCAGCGCTTGTGCTTCTAAGCGGTCCTGGAGCACATGGCAGGCACTGCCCTCTGGACCCATGGCCAGGAATGCACCTGTGGCAGGCTGAGCAGGTTGGCTGTGGCCAGCTTCCGTGGCCCCCAATCTAGAGCAAGAGTCCCCTCCGTTGAGTATGACAAAACTGGGGGGCTCTGATGCCTAGGCTGAGAGTCCTAGGTCTGCTATTTCCCCTGCCCATCCCCTTTTGGTCCCAGACACCAGCATGAAGAAGGGTTTCAGGGGTAGGGAAGGATAAAGGTCACCCCAGGAGGGGTGGGTGGTTCTGGGCAGGCAGCTGCCTACTGCTCCAAGAGGGAGAACCACAGGTCCGTTTGGCCCTGCCATGCTGCCCAGTGGCCCTCTGGCTGCCCTGGCATTGACACATGGCCAGAGCCCAAACCAGACCATATCTTGTGGACTGGCCAGGCCAGAAGGGTCAGAACCTCAAGGTCCCAATTTGGGGCTGGTTCTATACGCCTCACTGCAGGAAGCACAGCAAACATCATACACCAAAGCCAAAAGCACCATCGGGAAGCCTTGTTCCCGCTTCACAGGTAGGGAGACCAAAGTCATGGCAACCTGAGCCCATGGCCCTGGGGACAGGATCCTCCTGGGACGGCACCTGCCCAGGGAAGGGAGGGGTCACCAAGCTCTCTGAGCTGCCTGTTGGGTCTGCAGCCTGTCCCCAGCAGCACCCCAGGAAGAAACTGCTACTCCAGCCCTGGCTCCAGCTGGCCCATCCTGGGCCTCAGATCCAGGCTGGACTTGGGTCACACTTGCTGGCTCTGGGCTGGCCAGGGGCACCCGTGGAGGCTGGGAGTGAGGTTAGTGGTTAGTCCCAAGAAGGGCGGCAGGGGCTGGGTGCACATTCACAGCTGGCTCAGTCCCAGCCCCTGAGGCTGGGCTCCAGGGACACAGCATCTGTCCTGGGTGGAACTGGGGGAGGACCGGGGCAGTGGTACTGCTCAGCCTGCCGCCCCAGCCTGCCCTAGAGATGACAAATATGGTTAGTGCAAAAAACAAACCAGAGGAAGCTGCCAAGTCTTTTGGGTGTAGGGAGGGAGTTTGGCACCAAGAAGGTGGCCAGCACCGAGAGGCCAGCAAGTGACCTGGGCTCTGTGTGGCACCTGTTATCCATGGGAGGGTTGGGTGCCTTGGGAAGGGGTGGCACTGTGGGAGAAAGCAATGCTGGGCAGGAGGCAGAAGAAAGCTCTCCTTGGAGAGAGGCTGTGCTCAGGGCAGTGGTGTGAACGAGAGGGCTGGTGCCAGAAGCTGTAGAGAGAGAGGCGTGTGGAGGGTCCCATGTGTAGAGAGCACCCATCCCTCAGTGGCCAGCAACACCAGGCAGAAGGGCTGCTGCACTGCCTTGCCTGTGAACTAAGAGTGATCCATGGAAGTGTGGAGAGGGAGGTGCCAGGAAGGCTCAGCACTGTGGAAGGGAAGGAGTGGTCTGGGGAGCCGGGATGGGTACAGCAGACAGTCGGGAGGGCCATCTGCGGAGCGAGCATGTCAGGACAGGAGCTCCTGGCACAGAGCAGGGTTCAGTCAGTCCGAGGGGACAGTGAGATGAGGGAGCAGGGGCCAGGCAAGGCCAGGGTGGTGGCAGTATCTGTCCAGATATATGACTGGGCTGGGGTGGGCATTTCCACGCCCCTGCAGAGAGGAGAGGAGAGGGAGGGGCTGCAGAGGACCAGGCTGGCATTTGGAGGGCCTAGCAGGTAACCGCAGGGTAGAAGCAGCAGTGCTGGCCTGGGGGGGATGGCACGTGGGGCAGGTGGCTGGTCGGTGCGCAGTCTAGTGCCCGCTGCCGCTGGAGTCAGGGCGAGGCTGGCTCGTGGCGAGGTATTTGGCTCTCATGCTGGAGGAGTACTGGAGGAGAGAGGGAAGGAGGTCAGCAGGGTGCCAGGTATGGTGAGGCCAGCAGTGGCCCCTCATTGTGGTCCTTGGTGGGGTGAACCAGAGCCAGTCCTCGGTAGACAGTAATACAGCACAGGGTGCAGCTGGTACAGCCGAGGGAGGACTGGGTACAGCTGAGGGAGGCAGTGGTCCCCAGAGAGCAGACATTGGCCTTGACTCTGCAGCCCTCTACCAATTAGATGAGCACATCCAGTTTCTTCCACTCCCCATTGCTGGCATTTGGGCATCCATCAGACAGAGCCCTAATACCCCTAAAAGCCTTAACTGTACCCCACGTGCCCAGTGGCCAGAACCTGGTGGCCACATGCAGGCTGCCTGCCCAGTGGGCTAAGGCCCAGGCCCCTGCCTCAAAGCTCTGCCTGGAGCCAGGCCATGCCACAAGTCACTGGAGTGAGGTCACCTCAGCCTCCTCACTCAGGGCCACAGACATTCTGCCCCATCACTCCTGACTGCAGGGATGTTGCCACCTGCTTGGGGTCAGATAGAGAACCAACTGGGGGTCATCTTGGATCTCAGATTTGGGGACAGGTGACAGGTGGGGTGACCCCAGCCTGCCTGGCCCTGCAGATGACCCACACCTCTTTGCCACCCTCACCCAATTAACTGTGAGTATGAAGGCTTTGAGCAGTGAACATGTATGCAAGGAAGTATGGTATGTATGTGTGCTCACAGGGAGCACGCAGACAAAGCACGTGCTAAGGCCAGGCAGTGTGCAAATGGCTCACATGCCCATGGTGGGGTCAAAGGCCAAGGCTGTACCCAAGGTTGCCAGTGGCACAGAAGCCTGGCAGGCTGATCCCACTGGCCCCAGGTGGGCTCCTGCAAGCCCAGGGACCCCACGCTGGTCCCCACAATCCCCAGATCCAGAGGGACAGTGCTCTTCGGGTTCCCCGAGGCCCTCCTAGAACATCTAGAAGGTTGCAAACAGCTGGGAAGTGGCCATGGAGTGGGCAGGAGGAGGAGCAGCAGCACCAGGAGCCACATCATTCCATGGACATGCAGCAGAGACGCAAGGAACAGCCAGACCCTGAAGGAGCCCCTGCAGTGTCTGCACTGCCATGGGGGACAGTGGGGCCAAGTTTGCACACCTGTGCTCGCTGACATGCAGGGCCACATCAGGGGCCACGCACACAGGCACAGGCTGCCAGTAAAGGAGGTGACAAGAGAGGCTGGACCCCTTGTGCTGGTGGCAGAGTCCCTAGAGGCTGGGGAAGTGGGATGGGGCTCACTGCCCCTGCTGAGACAGGCGGGCTGAGGACCAGTCAGAAGCCTCTGGGCTAGGCAGTGCACTCAGCACAGCCCTGAGACAGGGCCCAAGGCCAGCACTGGTGGAGGGTGGTGGTGAGTGGAGGGCACAAGGCATAGAGGAACAGGCGAGTGCCGTGCGGGGCAGGGACCGGCCGGATCAGTACCTGTCACTCTGAGGGCACAGCTACCACAGCATTCGGGCACTGTCCAAGGGCTTAAACTGCCAGCCTGCGTGGCTGCCAGAGTCCAGGGCAGCGAGATAGCGCTAGGAGGACCCAGGGTGGAAGAGGTGCAGGAGAGAGAGAGAGAGAGGGACATCCTCAACGCCAGGTGCAGCAAGGCCCTAGTGGGCTGTGCAGCTGTTGGGCCTCGGGGGGTAGACAGCCTGGGATGGCCTCCGGGCCTTACAGACTCCATCCAGATCCTGGGTAAACCAGGCCCAGCTCTGCTAGGGGATGACAGGACAGTGGCAGGATTCCTCAACAAGGCAGCCTCAGCCTCTTGGCCTGTCCTCACAGCCCAGACCCTCTAGGAAGCCCTGGGCTTGTAACTCAGCACAGTGCCTCTCTGATGACAAACCCACCGTGTCCCTTCTTGTCCATCTCTCACCCTCGAGGCCAGAAGGGACACTGGACCCAAGCTGGAAGAGCCAGAGACTGCGACACAGATAGAGACTTGGGAAGAGGAGGAAGGAAAGGAAGGAGGAAAGGCCCGTCCTAGGGAGGTGGGGAGAGAGTGCTAGACCTCCACAGTGAGAGTGAAGGTCACACCCTCTGTCTCCCCACCTACCCAAGACAGGGCCATGACACCAGGGCACCTCCATAATGGCATCCATTAGAGAGGTCCTGGCTAGAGAACCCCCACATGGCACTAGAGGCTCACAGCTGCCCGAGAGAGGCACACCACAGCACAAAGGTGGTGGGGCAGCACAGCCCCTGGAGGCCGAGGGTCCCTCCCGCCCCCTCCTCCTGCCTTGAGACTTACTGAGGGCGGTGGGGACTCGCGTCCAATGAGGGGGGTGTTCTCACAGCGGGGATTCTGGAAATTGGCATTCTGGCTCCTGAGGGGGGAGAAAAGCTGTAAGGGACAGTGGCCCCGGCTCTGCCAAGAGGGTTCATCTCTGATCCAGCCAGACCCTGTGCCCAGCCGGCTCTGCCTGGCACCCATCTTCGATGCTGACTCTACAGGGAAGGCTCCTATGTTCTCACTGGGGATCCCAGGAGCCCACCCATCACCTCTGCCTGGCTGGAACCTGTCTCCCATCAAGCTGTTACCCACTATGTACCAGGCCTTCCATCTGATCGTGTGGCCCCCCACTGCTCCTCCACCAGATTCACCCAGGGACAGAAGGTTCTCAGTACTAGGCTCCTCCCCAAAGTCTGGGGGCTGCCTGTGATACAGCCCCTTCTCCCTCCTGTGGGCCTGGCCTGCACCACCACCTTCACCTCTGTCCTGGGAGCCCCAGGCTGGATCAGCACAGCTGCTGCTATGCCCAGGGGCTCCCCGAGCCAGCAGGCCCTGGCTCTGCCTGTCCCCTGAGGCTGGCTTCATCCCACTGTTTGTAACTTACATGTACTCAGTGACCGGGGCATTGCTGACTGTGTGGGCCGCGGCTGGGATGCTGGTCTCACTGCCATAACTGCTGCCGCAACTATATAAACTGGGCATGTGCACACGGTATAGGCTGTCATGTGCCTGCCGAGGCCCTGGGGCAGCCTCCTCTTCCCCATCCTCATCTGGGCCCCTGCAGGAAGGAACATGTGACCCTTAGGACAGCAGGAGGGAACCAGCATGAGGCCTGCAGATGGCTCTGGTGCAGACACTGTGGACTACAGCCACTCACCCAGGTCTGAGCCTCAGTGTTGTCCCCTGAGACTGGGTACAAAGAAACCACACAGTCACCTGCATTCCAGGCCATGTCACCAGCCCACATATGGCAGTAGCAATGGCTGTCTGCTTATTAAGAGAAAGGTGTAGTCCTCTCCTGGGGAGTGCAGAAGAATGGGTGCTCTCTTTCAGATCTTCAGAACTGATCTGCGCCAGCAGGTGGCCTAAGCTGGTATTCCTTGCCTGTCTGCCCTCTGGCTTTCTGTCCTGCACTCCACACAGAGGTTGTAGGGTGAGGCAAGGGTGCTTTCACCAGACCTCTGCTGCTCCGGAGCTCCTCAGTGCCCTGCCTGTCCCAGATGGGACATAGGAGTGGGCTGCTGGATGGTGAGTTTCTCAGAAGAGGGAGCTGATGACTGAGTGAACACCAGCTAAGCCCAGGGAAGAGCACACACACACAGTGACTCATCTGGCATCATCTGACTCTCAAAGTGTGTCTTTTTACAATGGACCTTGTTCTTGCCAGGCAGGTGCGGTGCCAATGAGCTACATCCCTGGCCCCTACAACTCCTTTTTCACTGCAAGGGACACTGAAGCCCAGAGTAGTTAAGGAACAGTCCCAAAACTTGCCCATCACTCCAAGGATGGAGTCTGGATCTGAACACAGCCATGTGGTTCAAGTGCTGTGCTCTTGGCCACTCCACTAGAGCTACTGTCTTTATTGCCACAGCTACCATCATCATAATTATCACTGCCACAGCATCACCATCACTGTAACCACGTGCCTCACCACCATCACCAAATCACCATTATCAGCACCACCATCACCAACATCAAAGATCACTGTCATCACAACCAGTATCACCAACACCAGCACCACCAGCGTTATTACCACTACCATCACTGTCACAACCACCAGCATCACCACTAAAATCACCATCATCGTCACATCAGCACGCTCACCACCACTGTCACCACCTCTATCATCCTCAGCAACATCATCATCACAAGGGAAAATAACAGAAATCCAGGCAAAGGTAATAAATGAGAGCTGAGCTAGCTGCTCTCCAAGCTGGGCATCAAGAAGTGGGCATATCTCAAATGGGAGAAGAGGCGGAAGGTCTGGGAGATGGACCGTGGGGCTTCTGCAAGGGAAGGAGCCTGACACTTTCCACCCCACTCAACCCAGTACTAAATGAGAAGCCTGAGGCAGGGGCTGCCAGGAAGCCCACTTCAAAATAAGGACAGAGTGGTTCTGTGGGAGCCGGATCTGATCCATCCTGGTCACCCAGCAGAGGTTATGGCTGTCTGGACTCCTCCCTTCAGGAGATCACATAGCCGGGGTCTGCCCACAGTTCTGTGCCTCTGTACCCGGAGGACCCAGCCTTTAGAACAGTGACCTATGAGTCTACTCCTTAGCATGGGGAGACAGGGCCAAGCCAACGGTGCAGGTGACTCTGGTTCCCCACCTTGGCTGAGCTCTCGGGTTTTCTCCTGTGAAATGGGGGGTTCCCGGCTAGGGCCAGAGATCACGAGCTGGACATCTACAAGGGCCCATCCCTAAGACAGCCTGTAGGCTGTGTAGCAGGTTCACATTTCAGGACGTTGCTTGCCCTCACCTCTTCTGCTGCCAGGTGTGTGGGACACTGCAGACGATGGAACTGAACATGAGGGCTGTGACGAAGGAGAAGAGGGCCAGGTAGATGAGGCCCTCGATGCCGTCGTAGCACAAGCCTGTCAGTGCCTGCACGTAGTCCTGAGCCAGCAGAGATGAGACACAGGGATAGAGAGTCGAAGACAGAAAGTCTGAGATGGACAGGCCAGGTGAAGTTCAGCTGTAGCAGCTTGGATGCCCTGATACCAGGCTGGGCTGAAGCCCCCATCCACTAATGAATCTTTCTCTCAAGGACTACCCCTGCCCTCTACAGCTCCCCTCTCCCCTCAGCCCCCAGCTCCCCTAACTCCTGTCCTACCCTGTAGCTCCCCTTCAACCCCACAATGCCACTCTGACTCCTGACCTCCTCTGCTGCACCCTCTGGCCCTGTGGCCCTCACCAGGTGCAGGCTGCGGCAGTCCACCAGGGCAGTGAGGTGCTGCAGATTCACCTCTGTGCCGTTCAGCACCTCCTGGACATGGAGCAGGGGATCCTACGAGCAAATGAAACTCAAATCAACACTGCACTGAGGGGAGAACCAGGTCAGCCATGCTTTCCCGAGAGCCCCAAGTCTCCCTCCACCCCGTAACTGCCCCTGAAACTACCTTTGACCAATCCCCCTTGGCACAGCCCTGAGGACCCCAGCCTTTAGGAGGGGTGACCTTGGAGTCTGTCCGGACTTGCAGGGATAGGGGACACATGGATGCCTGTCCACTGTGGTCCTCACTACGTGAAGACACATCCTTATCATCACAGGGAAACAGACAGGCACTGCATGTCATGAGCTATACTTTCAAATATCCAACTTTGTGTAGCCAGGCCTGGTGGCACGCCTGTATCCCAGCTACTTGGAACGTTGAGGCAGGAAGACTGTATGTTCAAGTCCAGTGTGGGGGCAACTTAGTGAAAAAAGGGCTGAGATGCAGCTCAGTGCAAAGGCTCTGGGTTTAATCTCCAATACTAAAAAAAAAAAAAGAAGTCCTATTTAAGAACAGTAGAAGACAAGGGCAAATCCTCACACTACCTTAAGTGATGAAACAGTAGTGTGTTCCATGTTCACAGACACCTCTAGCCCTGTCCCGCGCACGGGGAAATGACCATGCAGAGAACGTGGGGCGGAGTGTGGGTCCTCTAGATCACCCGGCACTGTCTCCTGTCATATGCTTTCTTTCCTTCTTCTTTTTTTTCTTTTGCAGTACCAGGGATTGAACCCAGGGCCTTCACACTGAACTACACACCCACTTCTTTTTTAATTTTGAGATAGGGGTCTTGCTAAGTCACTCAGTTGCCCAGGCTGGGCTTGAGTTTGTGATCCTTCTGCTTTAGCCTCCCAGAGTGCTGGTACTGCAGCTGTAACACCCTTTCTAAGGACACTCTGGAATCCTGAAATAAATTTCAAGAGAACAGAGCCTACTGCTATGGGCTGCACTGTGTCTCCTAAAACTCCTGTGCTGAAGCGACCCCCAGAACCTCAGATCACTGTGCTTAGACAGGGCGATAGACAGTTAAGGTCAGCAGGGTAGGCGCTAAACCAATATGCCTGGGGTCATACAAAGGTGATTAGGAGGTAGACACAAAGAAGGACAACCCTGTGAGGACCCAGGGAGAAGACAGGGTCTACCAGACAAGGAGGGCTGCCTCAGGTAGAACCAGCCTTTTCTAACCTCTAGGACTATGAGGTATAAATGTCATTCCAGCATTCCTCTGTGGTGCTGGGGTATGGCCTTGCACATGCTACAACTGTGCTATGTCCCTAGTCTCTCATTTCTTTTAAGTGTTTAAATTACTTTGAAAATAAAGAACAAAATTATTTTTTAAAAGTCTATCAAAAATCCCCAGGAAAAAGGAACAAAAGAGGAGGGAAAAGAAAAAAAAGAAGACTACAGCTCCCTTCTCCCCTCAAAAGGGGTGGGGAACAGGACCCCTAGACTCCCATCAGAGGCTTCCTTGGGCCCTGCAGCCCCTCACCTTGGTGGCAGGGTGCTCCCGTGGGGTGGTCCTCAGAAGCTCGGCCACAATGTCCTGCATCTCCACCAGTGCCTTGTGGCTGCCTGACAGTTTCTGCTCCGCAGAGAGACATGAATTCCAGCAGGACGGCCCATCCCCAACCACACCCCAGGCAGCCTGCAAGTTCCCAGGTGGCTGGCTATGCCCGCTCTGCCCTACAGGATCTAGGACTCACCCTGCTCCCCAGCTGCCTCCACACCCAGAGACAACATAGCCCAAGGTGGTGATGGAACCCTAAGGCCACTATAGAGAAAAAAGCAGGGCATTCTCAAGGCAGACAGTGCTCGGGACCCAGAGTCATGCCATCTGATACGCAGCAGGTAAAGGGTTGATGCAGCTGCTGCTGCTGACCCCTCAAAAATCCCACCACCAGGATACCCAAATGGACAGCATTCCACAAAGGTGTCCCTAAGGCTTCAACGGGCCACCTGGCCTCTGCCCCTTCAGGATTGCCCAGGACAGCCCATGGAGTAAAAGGAGTCCAGGGTTACGGTGGCATTAGGCAGGTGAAGACAAAAGGCTTGTGCCAGGGTGCTAGTGTGGCAGCCCCAGGGCAGCAAGTGATGTCAACACAGCATTCACCTGGCTGCGTCTGCTCAGCCTCTGCGGTGCCTCTTGGCTAAGGATGTGCATGCTCTAAATCTAGAACAGGGCCTGCTCTGTCTCTCTACAGATACCACGCCCTGGGCTCTCCCCACCCTGCACCCGGCCTAGCCTTCCAGGACAGGGTTGGCTCTCACCTGCTGGAAGGGGTTGGCAGCATAGGGTGAACAGGCCAGGTAGTACTGCAAAATGTCTGCGGAGAGAGGGCAGAGTGGGCTAAGGCGGCAGCCCTGTGTGTGTGCACAGTGTGTCCTCAAGTGTGTGTCTGCATGTGTCCACATGTGTGTACATGTGTGCTATGTGTGTACATTTGCACTTTGCAAATATGTGCAGGCACATATGTGCATAAGCTCAAGTGTATATAGGTGACTATATATACACACGTGTGTGTGAGTGAGCTGTGGCCTCCAGGAAGACCCTGCCCTGGACCAGGGCCCCTGGTGCAGTGACAGCACCTACACTCAGCCCTGGGCTCTGTGCTTCCAACGAGCCTCCAGAAGCCCAGGGCTTGTCAGACCAGACACAGAAGTTGTATCGCTCACTGGTAAGTCCCACCAGCCCCACCCTCAGAGCACACCCTGTCTGCACCCCACCCTCTGCAGGAGTCCAATAGCCTTGCCCCAGGTCCTTGTCCCCACCTGGAGTCCAAAGACACTTTTAAAAGGTGATTGCATCATGGCTCACATTACTCTTCTGCCCTTCCAGAATAAAGCCCAAACTCCCACCTGTGGCCTGGACCTGCTGGCCTCTCCACTCCTCTCCCAGATGGTCTGGGGTTTCTGCCTTTCAAACACATCTAGTGTTTCTGCTCTGGGCCTTTTTACAAGATGCAGCCTGATCTGGCTCAACTTCAGTGCCACCTGTTGGCAGATCTTCCATTCTCAGACTGCCCACTCTGAAGCAGCACTGGACCACCTGCCCACCCCAGTCATCACTGGCCCCACAGCCCTGGAAAAGTGGTCAAGGTGGTCCTGTTGGCTCACTAGCTTCCTGGCCTAGGACCTGCTTCTCTAAGACCGAGGGCCATGAAGGCAGGGACCCCCAGCCTTGCTCATCTGGCTCTCCCAGCTCAGCCCAGTCAGGGGACCAACTCTGACATAGCCACAGACTCACCCCCATTCAACACGGAGTGCTCCTCCACCATCTTGGTCACATAGGTATCAGGGTCCACACAGAAATCGCTGGAACCCTGGGTGGGTGCAGGCAAAGAAGGGGATCACATTACTGGGCCTCAGGGGAGGTGGTGCCCTGGTCCCTCAGCGGGCAGAACCTGATCCCAGGGTCCACTTTTGGCTCAGGAAGGTGGAGGGTGAATCAGAAGGGGCATGGATATGCTGGGGGCTCGTGACAAGGACCCAGGGACATGGGACAAGTTAGGAGGGGACAGACAGTTGGCTTCCTTCACCTCCCACCTAGGCCCAGCAGATGGGGACTACTGGTCCCTGGCTACTCACCACAGACACAGCTAGCTCCAAGCCTAGAGCACCCCAGCTGATGACCAGGGCCAGCACTCCCAGTAAGCAGACCCTTGGGACAAAGAGAGCCGGTCAGCAGCCCCCAGGCTGGGAACTAGGACAGGCCATCCACTGAGGTATAGCCTGGAAGGCAGAACCCAGGTACATCTAGACATCTGGCCAAAAGGGCCTGGACTCAGCCAGAGCTCCCCAAGGTCCAGAGCCTGGATTAGTTCCCCTCCCGGCTTGATCAGAGGACAGAAGGCTCCCTGGGCTTGGCCCTTCCTGTCCCTAAGGCCTGTCCCCAGAGTCCTCTCTTTAGCAGACAACAGTCTCTGCTTCCTCTCTTTCTTTTCTTCACCGTGCTGGGAATGGAATCCAAGGCGTTGCACAGGCCAAGCAAACACTCCATCCCTGACCATACCCCACCCGTTTCTGCCTGACAGAGAAGTTTAAGGGGCCTGCTAGCCTCAGGCAGACCAGGCCCTCCCGTGCTTCATCCCCAGGGGCAGCTTTTGAACACCCTGGAGTGGGGGCTCTTGCCTGAATGGCTGGGCCTCCCTCACCTGACCCCCACTCCCTGTGCTCACTCCCAACCCTGCAGGCCTGTGTGCTGCGTGCACCTCTTGTTCCTTTGAGCTTCTGCTCTTCCACCCCCTCTCCCATGAACCCTGAGTACAGTGTGCACACTGCCCTGCTACCTGACCAGGCTTTGTTTCTTTCCAGTTCTCATCACCTGTCACACCTGTTTTACTTATTCCCCCCCGCCAGGCCTGGGAGTGCTACTGTGCAGGAACTAGAGAGTCCTCTGGACTCTCCCTGTACCAGGTGCATATAGAAATTGAGATGTGGCTATGCAACTGTTCAGGGAGGGACAGTGACACCACCTCAGAGCCACCCTGAGGGCAAGCTGTCACTCCATTTTTTGAGATGAGGGGACAGAGATGGGGAGCTGACACAAAACCTAAGGCTGCTACCTGGTAAATAACAAAGCCAACCAAACTGCTTCCACATCTAAGAGTAGAGGGTACAAGGAGTTCCATCCTGATCTCCTGGTTTCCCTAGAACCTGGGGACCTGGACAGGTGGCTCTAGATTTCCCATATGCAGACTTTCTTGAGGCAACCCAGACTGGACTGGGCACAGGGTGTGGGCACCTCAGAGAAGGCTCTGTACCAGAAACCCATCTCAGGCAGTCCATGGGCAAGGGCCTCGAGGTCCCACCACAGACCCCATGGCTGGAGAGAGAGGTGCTCACCCTGTCCCTCCCACAGATGCACCCAGACGCCACCCAGACTCACCCAATCAGGATGCCCTTGGAGCTTCGGATGAGGCCCACTAGCACCAAGAGGCAGATAATGACGTCAAACAGCAGCAGCCCCAAGTAGCCAAGCCATCTGTGGGCACATGTGGGTGTGAGCCAGGCACAAATGGGGCAGGGCCCAGGGAGAGGGGCAGAAGTGGCAGTCAGAATGGGGCAAACAGCCTGGATCCCAAGAGAGGCATCCACAGGCAGCTGCAGGCTTGGATATAGGTGTGGGTTCTTGGGGGAAATGTCCACTTGGCAGATTCCTGCCACTGCCAGGGACCTCCAGCTGCCCTGCCCTCACTTATGAGGCCTTGGGTCCTAGATGCTGAGAACAGGAAGGTCCCAAGAAGGCCATGACTACCCCGGGTGTTCTAGGACAGAGCACTGGACCACACCTGTACCAGTCGTAGAGGTCCACCTGCTCAGCCAGCATCTCTAGGGACACGCCTGGGTTCCTCCAGAAGGGGATGGCCTCAGTGTAGCCCAGCAGGGTCTCCAGAAGGCCCTGAAGCCGCTGGATAGCCCGCAGGGGCTCTGGTTTCCCAGCCAGCTGTCGCTCCAGGCTCTGCAGGCTGGGCTCTGCCGTGCGGTTCAGGGCGACTCCTGTGTCCCACACCTGCCACCAGGACAAGATGGAGCTGAGGCCCTACAAAGAAGGCCACTGCCCTCGGGCAATCCCATTCAGCCCCACAGCCCACCCCCACCCCGTGGCCACTCACGCGGTCCTGCACTCCAGCCACTGTGCGGTTTGCATGGCGGAGTGAGTAGGTAGCCCGATGGATGCCGTCGCTGGTCTCCCCATTGCCGTAGAATCCTACTGCGATGCCCGCGCTGGAGAGGGCCAGGCTGTGAGTGGGGGACAGCCCCACCATTCTGGGCTCCACCTACCTGGTGGTCCCTCCCGTAGCCCCCGCACTGCCTCACCTGCAAACCAGCGTGGCAATGATGACGCACCAGGCTGTGCAGCAGCAGTCAGCATCGAGGTGCTCGTCAGTCTTGCGCCTCCGGCAACACAGCCAGAAGGAATAGAAGAGCAGGAAGAGGAGGTCCAGGGCGAGGCAGGCCAGGGCGGCTGCCCCCAAAAGCAGCAGTGCCTAGAGGTAGGGGAGGCTGCTAAAGAATGTGGCCAGTACCTACTGCATCCTCCCCAGTCCTGGGAGGTGGTCCTGTCTCCGGATTGCAGGACAGAGATAGAGGTAGGTGCCCAACACCTCAACACCTAAGTGACTGACACTTCAGAGGGCACCCAAGAACCCCAGACTTCAGGGCTTGAGCCTAGTCCCACTAGGAGAGGCTGAGCAGCATGGCCATGGGCCCTCTCAGCCCCCACCCCAGTGAGGACCTCTCACATGCTTGTCCCCAGTGTCTAGGGCAGTTGCCAACATAGGTTTTAGGAAGAGGCTCAGGTGAAGGGTAGTTAAGAACATGTAATGGGCTGGGAATTTAGCTCAGTGGTTCTGCCGTCTGCCTCGCAAGCGCAAAGTCCTGAGTTCGATCCCCAGTACCAAAAAAAAAAAAAAAAAAAAAAAAAAAA